ATGCACTAGGTGGTATTATCAATGCGCTAGGTGGTATCATTAATGCGCTAGGTGGTATCATCAATGCGCTGTTTTGTATCATCAATGCGCTGGGTGGTATCATCGATGCGCTAGGTGGTATCATCAATGCGCTAGGTGCCATCATCAATGTGCTAGGTAGTATCATCAATGTGCTAGGTGGTTTCGTCGATGCGCTAGGTGGTATCATCAATGCGCTAGGTGAATCAGCAATGCGCTGGGTGGTATCATCAATGTGCTAAGTGGTATCATCAATGCGCTAGGTGGTATCATCCATGCGCTGGGTGGTATCATCAATGTGCTAGGTGGCATCATCAATGCGCTAGGTGGTATCATCAATGCACTAGGTGAATCAGCAATGCGCTAGGTTGTATCATCAATGCGCTAGGTGGTATCATCGATGCGCTAGGTGGCATCATCAATGCGCTAGTTGGTATCATCAATGCGCTAGGTGGCATCATCAATGCGCTAGGTGGCACCATCAATGCGCGCCAGAGGTCAAGATGGAATGACACGTTTTCGAATAATACATCTTGTGTGGCGGAGTTCGTAGTGTTGATACCGCTTATTGTCTGATTTTAAGCACTATGTACACTAAGCTTTTCAACTTTGATCGATCTTGAGTATACGGATCATTGGCTTCCTTTTCACATTGTACATTGTAAGTATGAAGTGCAATTGTGATGTGATTCCTATATGCCAATATGCAGTGACAAGGTGTTTTGATTGTTGATTCCGGCATAGTCACGGGGTCATGGTTATTAAAGACGAAGCCCTATTATCATACTCTGTATAGAGCTCAATTTATTGAATTCTTTTATCGTACCTAAGTTGCATTTTAAATAAATCCATTCCATTCTAAACAAGTGGATAAGTATTCAAGTTGAGGGGGGCAAGGGTTATTTTCGTTCAACGTAATTGCAATATTTTTTTTTGTTCGTACAACGTAAATAGAAAAAATAATTTCCGTAATTCTGTAATCACAGGATAGACGTACAACGTAATCAATCAAATATTTTTTTCGTACACTGTAAAAATGTGTCATTTTTCTCGGTACGTACAAGAATTTACACCCAAATAAAAAAAATCGTAAAAAAAATCTAGGGAAATTACATTTCAGAAACTGTAAAACGACTAGATGACACAATTCACTACAAAATTGAATGTCCAAGACGTAAATGGTTCTCTAACCGAATGAAGAGCATTGCGAGGGTAATATGCGCATGCGTCTCTACACACGGCCAGGTAATGGCGGAGCATTTGAGTCGGAGAGCTCTTTGGACCATTCAATGTTCCATTTTTTAACATTGTAAACTGTAAAAACGTCTTTTTTTCCTTGTAAATTGTAAAAAGCCCTTTTTATTTCCCGTAAAACCGTACCAGCTACCCCCCTTGCCTCCCCTCAATAATGTTGACTGTCCTAGAATTGACGTCTTGCACACACTCTCTGAAAGACATGCTGCAATTACAATACTTTAATACAGCTTGCGATTACACAGCAGGGTACGACTGGTATGCACTTGAAATATGGACTATGTAATTGATTTGCAGTTTGTATAACTTGCATTCCTGGAGTGTTACTGCATAAACTAATTAAATGTCGACATTTCCGACAGTATATCGCCACCTAGTGTTCGTACCTTGATTGCTGCCCCGGCTGTTACTGAAATGGAAACATGTAGAGTATTGCGCCCTCAATAAATATTTGAATCCAGCCCTAGCTCGAGTGCCGTAAACCCCGATCATAACTTTCGGGTGCAAATAACCCATATTATACCGAGGCGGTAACAAGTGGGTGTTATTATGCACGTGTCCCTTATTATACCGAGGCTGTAACGAGTGGGTGATATTATGCACATATCCCATATCATACCGAGGCGGTAACGAGTGGGTGACATTATGCACCTGTCCTTTGTTATACCGAGGCGGTAACGAGTGGGTGATATTATGCACATGTCAATTGTTTTGCCGAGGTGATAACGAGTTGGTGATATTATGCTCTTATCCCATATTATACAGAGGCGGTTACGAGTGGATAGCATTATGCATCTGTCCTTTATTATACTGAGGCGGTAACGAGTGCGTGATATTATGCACGTGTCCCTTGTTATACTGAGTCGGTAACGAGTGGATAATATTATGTACGTGTCCCTTGTCATGCCGAGGCGGTGCCGAGTGGGTGATCTTATGTTTACTGCGCTGAGACAGTAAGTAATATAAAACAAGCGTAAATAAATAAAACATGCTATATGATTGTATATTCGATTATTGTTTCTGTCAGTTGTATAATATCACTTTTAGTGCTGAGACGCTGAGGAAGCAAAATTAGTCGCAATTGTCATAATATCCTGGTTATTTTCATTAACACGCGTAATTGATACATAATTTTCACGATGTTGAGTAGTATTCCAAAATGTTGATATTTTGAATGAGGTATACTGACTCACGTGACTAATGATGCGTGTTAATGCCTTTAACCAGGTCGTTTACTTTGATCAAACTTAGGTGTGTGTCATTGTAATGGTAATGAGCTCAACTAGAAAATACGAGCACTCTGTATCAGATAACCATCACTGCATGACCCGACGAGGTCACACCTTGGCTGTATGGTCTTATGTGCGTCACTCACACAACTCGTGCGAAAACAGCTATATTCAAAATGATATTTCGAGTTCGAGTTGTATTTTTTTATGACGCTTCTAGTTTTTCCAAAAGTGCTTGACGTCACGAAAATACAGTGACGGTTTTTGTTTGAATTATATCAGCCTTTCTATGTAGCGTACAATGCGTGCGTCTCTCATTTCGCGCTATACTAAACCGAAAGGTACACAGCCTATTGGGAAGCCTTCCTAATCATGATTAACAAGACTGTAAAAAGTAAGCGGTACAATGAAATTGACTCAGTACTGAAATCTACAAATACAAAGCTATCAGATATTGACAATAATGATTCAGATGAATCATATAATGATTCAGAACAAATATCATCACAAATGTCACGGATATATGATAAAATAAAAAATGTATTTATAAAGCATTGGATTATCTCAATTAATAATGATAACAGACAATACACTAATACACAGAACATGCAAAAACTGAGGACAGTTTTTTAATTTTTTTTTTCGTTACTAATTTCTTTTAGTATTTTGGTTGATCTTTAAACTCTTAGCCATTGTAATTTGATTAATTTTAATTTAATTAATAAATAAATAAATAAATATGGAACAAGGCACGAGTCTAGACAGACAGACTTATTGGGGTCTACATGAACATCCGCGGGCATTTTCACTGCTTGGCAAACACAACCGGTGAAAACAACGATCGAAAATTATCAGAAAACTGTATTTAGGGATGACTGTTGAGACTCTCCTGGGGCTGAACAGTGTAACAAGCTCACCCATATGTGGGCAACATATATCAATTTGGTTGTTTGGGATTGTCTCAAAGTTGAGTTTGTGCTGTTCTCTCGACTTTAGCTGTATTCACTAGTTCTTCGATCGGCGTTCCACAGCAACTCGCACAGAAATCATAGAAATATATGGTACGGTGGTACGCGTACAAGGTCCTTAGGAACTAGAACGTTCTATGACGTCGCTCCGCCCAAGGCTACGCTCCATATTCATCCGTGGCGAACTGTATAGTCTTCCTTTCACTAAATTTTAGTTGTACAAGTGGTTGTGAATGCGACTGAGCAATTTAGTAAAATTGCATATTGTTTCAAGTAGGAAATAGTTATTTAATATGACATAACATAGAGTGGAGTTGTGTCTGAATGGGTAGTTACGGGACTCGTGTGACCGTAGTCATGTCAAGATGTAATCCAAAAAATATAATCATATTAATTTTACCCTGGGAACTCCGTGTGAGTGGCGTCACGTTGTTATGGTGAGTGACACGTGTTAGTACCTCTTTCAATAATGAGATCGTCCACGGAAGTCGAAGAAGCAAGCTGACTAGAAAAGAACTACTGGTATAAGTAGGCTGCCTTTCGTGAGAGGGTTGGGTGAGATTAAAACAACACGCGGTGAACATCTTATATACAGGTATGTATCTTAAAAGTTTGTTCTAAAACACTGCATGACTAGCAACAGAGGCGATCACTTCGATAATTTCGCCACGTTTAGTAGGATCGCATATCTTTATTTTTAAACTGACGTTGACAATTTCCGCTTATAAACGTATCAGAGTTAAAAGTTAATCGTTGATGACGGTTCAACGTCATTTGTACGTTTAGGCACTGCTCAAAGGTGGGTGCACCAGTCACCAAATTGAGAATCAAATCTCCTCGATCGGCTTCAACTAATTTGCCAGCTCGAGTCGATTGGCCACAGGTATTAACAATGTATCGGACGACTGAGCCAAACACAGAGCCTGATTTATTATCCGGCTAGCGTAATAGGTTTTAATGTCTATTGGTAATATCACCATGGTGATAATCTGTGATCACCGTCAATGATGTATGTAGGGGAGCACGTAATACTGCGGCGGCATAGTGAGCTCGTCACCCGAGTTTTTGCCAAGCGACACAAGCCCGGTCAAAGTAAGGTGACCCTTCAGAAATCTCTAAATCAAACAACCCGCTGCCCAGTACAAGGAAATTCGTTTATCGTGACAAATAAATTACACAGCAGAGTTGTCTCGTGGGTTGATTACGTCTTCATATGAAATATAGATATGATGTAATATCATGACGCACACCAACAATCCTAAATATTTGATGAATTTTGATGAGTTTATCAAATATGTAAATTTACATACGTCACACAGTTTCATATATCATTCAAAGTGAGTTTCCATTTTTAATGATACATTTACGTATGTTGTTTGTTTCCTCTTGTCCGTTTCTGACAATCTTAGATTGGATTTTCTCAAAAATTGGTGAACGTATAAAATATGTCTCTCCCAATAAACGCATTCATTATTCACAGGAGGGTTAACTTCCGATATAGCATGTCTAATTAACGGTGACCCTGTATAATGTGAGATCCCTCAGAAGCTATCACAGACTACTAGTCTTTACGGGCCGCAAAAAAGGATACATGGGACGGACGCTTGCAACTAATTAAAACGTTATATTGCAAGATATCCTTTTCAGTTAATATGACGTGTAATTGTATAACCCGACACCAAGATTAATATAGCTTTTATTAAAGTTACACACTGTGATCATTCCTAAAGCTTTATTTGAAGCCTTGGAACTATTATGTGACATATTTCATGGTCTGAATATGCGTGACAT